AATATTCTGTGATTCTGTGATATTCTGGAAAACTTGACAACCATCCTGCTGAGAAGCTCACTGTCTGCCCACTGTCTGATGCATGGCCAAACAGGACTTATTTTTACAGGTTTGCCAACTCAGCACTTTTTCAAGCTGTAGAAATAGTTTAAGACAAGTAAAAGTCTCCCTAARGATACAAAAACCTTCTGGTGTTACCCCTCTGAAATTCTGAAATTTAAAAAGGGCAATAATCTCTGCTCAAGAATTCTATTTCTTATTTAAAAAAATCTATTTGAAGTGCATTTAAAACATAGCTCCTCATTCTGAACAGTCTCCCCTGAAGTGACACTCAAGTACGAGACTTCTAAGGCTCCCTATTATATTTACTACTTAAACAAGACATAAAAGGAACATGTGATTTTGAATCAACTTATAAAGACCTAGTTCTAGTCCTGATTAACAGCCTGCAAATATTGGAGCGGCTCTGATCAGATGTTGATGCAAGAGAAATCAAACAAAAAATTTAGCATTCAGAGAGCAGGGGAAAAGTACAAAGGATTATGTATGGTAATATGAAATTAAGGATGTGAAAACAGGCAACCAATAAGTGATTGACCAGATGAAGAAACAAACATGAGCATAAAGCAAACAAGAAAGAACACTTGCGGAAACAGCAAGTGTTTTTACTAGGTCACGAACTTACGAAACGAAGTTTCATTTTAAATTCAGATAAGAATGCATATGGGCAAACACTAAGGGTTAAAGTTCTGTTTTTCGATTCCCAAAGAAAGCAATCAGAAAATGCTTTTAGAAATAAATTGTTTGCTAAAGCTCCAAAATAATTCACTGCCTGTCAAATTACTACGTGCCAAAACAACTGTGAATCTACTGCTTTATCCATAATGCAAATATGGAGATCAAAGTGATGAGTCTCTGCAGAGGGATGAGTTTATAAGTAAAAATCTTGTGAAGTAACAGTCTGCCACCTACCTCACTGCAGTGTTGGATTAAAATAAATTCACTGATTTAGCTGTATCTCTGCTCAAATTTATACCTGCTTTATAAGAAAACAGATAACCACTTTCCAGCCTCTGTGTGGAAACAAAGTCTGTTTCTTGTTTCAGATTACAGAGTAAAGATTTCAGGAAAATAATGTTTCACACATGCCTTGAAACAAGTTATATTTTATATTTTCTGCAGCTTTATCTGTTAGTTTTCAGTTAAATGTTACAAATTATCATATAAAGGTTTTCTAAATTGTTTCTCTATATAAATTTACAGCCATTCGCCTTGGCGAGCACATAAATTGTGGAGCTCCATGTCTCAGAATCTCACATGCATCAAAGTATAAGTCCCAAAAGAAGGCCAAAAAATTCAAGGAAGCTGCCCATCAAGATTCCTAGATGCAGCCTCCAGCACAAGTCCCTTCACTGCAAATTGTCTGAAGCTAGAAAATATACTAGAGAATGCACTGATCTATGGGCACCCTCTCTAACTATACAGTATTTGTTCTCTAAATATACAGTAATGACCACGGCTAGAGACAGGACACTAGTCAAAATGCACTTGCAATCTAAACCTATATGGTCCGATACGCTGATGAATCCTTCCTTTACATACTAAAAATTAAAGCCTAGTTATTGAACAAAAAAGCACCCTTTAGCAACCATATGCAAACAAGGAGTTACACAGTTAAAACAGGACTCAAACTTCAGATACCCACATCCAGAGGATATCTCCTGCTTCACCGCTGCCTGACCCTGAGATGTCTGTAAGTACCCAGAGCACTGCTATGCACACAGGCTCAGAAATTCCTAGCAAAAACAGCTGATACTAAACTGTTGCCTTAGTCAAGTAAGTGGAACTGCATCTGTCCAGGAACATTAACATCCTGCAGAAATGCTTTGGGGAAGCACGTGAGAAGTATCCTCGTCAGGGCTCTGTATCTTGTAATAACAGGACAAAAAATCCCTTTTTAAAGGGACACTGCTTTCAGAGTAACAAGACTTTCTCCCTGGTAGTGATCCATTCCTTAGTTTATTTACATCTATGTCATTTGTTTTGTGATCTTCTGCCTTGCCACACTTCACTCAATTTGAACAGTCACRATCCTTATTAGCTACTTAAGTATCAGTGTTTGAGAAATATCACTGAGGATTGCTCTGAAGTTTTACAAAGGCAGTAGGGCATTTAATATTTAGGTGTTGACTTTGAAGAGTTAAAAATGGAAGAAAGAAAAAGGAACTCTTTGTGCTATTTGATCGTGCACATCAGTTTTGCATTAAAAATACTGAAAACATTGGAGAAAATGAAGTATATTATTGAAAGATCCTTATCATCACCTGCATCCTTCTGAAAATAGATGTCTGAGCGCTGCACGTTATGAACTACTGGGCATGAATTAAGAACAGCTGCATATGAGGAATTTAGAATTCCACTCGGCACTTGTTACTTGACAGGATTAAACGCAAATCTTTAGTCCTACTGAACACTGTTAATACAAAACACGAAGGCTTTCTCCAGTATAATCTTTGTTGAAACCACAAGAAAAACAGATGTTCCTCCCAAATTTTGATAATATGCTTAGCTGACATTACTTAAAACAGAAAATCAAAGATAACCTATTCCAATAGGAACTTGTTGCCACTGTGGATTTGAAGTGCTACCATCAGTAGCGCTTACAGRCGTTTCCAGAGCCCAAATTAGTTTCTCAGCAAGTCCTTTCACAGACATATGGAGGAAGCCAAGGAGATGAACAGGACACAAGGCAGTAAGCAAAGCTATTAAATGCTAAGCATTTGACAAGGTGATATCCTGGCATTCCTGACAATGCAAACAAATAAACACTATGTATCAACAAACGCCTGCCCACCTGGTTGGTGCTCATCTGTCACAATGGTTTAAATCCAAGTCTTGCTTCAAAGAAAACAKGTAACAGCTGGTGAACCCAAACTTTCATTCCCGTTTTCAGGTAGGGGTGTACAGTCTTTTAAGCCAGCTACTCAGGAGCCCACAAGCTCACGCTCCTCACCGAGACAGGACTGTCACACAGCTAGATAAAATCCTTTGTCGGTCTAAACACTTGGTCTGATATGAAGAACTACTCATGCTTAATGAAAGGCCCTTACTCTAGGCAACTACCACTATTTGACTCACTTTTTTTTTTTTCTTTACTGTGAAATTGATATGAAGTTATTGTAAGAGAAAAAGACATTTTAGATAACACCAGTTCATCATTTTAATTACTACTACACATACCCTTGGAATACAATTCTGAATCTATGGGACAGTTCAACTATTTTCTCTAGAAAAATTCTCTTCTATTTCTATTACTGCTAGAAAGAGCAGAGGGTTGATTTTGATCACAAGCACTACAACAATGTTACTGTGTCTGTTCAACAGACAAAATTAAACAAAATTAGCTACTCACCTTGCCTAGATATTACTTGCACACTGAGTTGCACTGTTCCATCTGTTTTTACTCCTTGATCAAAGAGGCTGCGGTCTGGATCCAGCTTCATAAAAGCAGGAAAAAATGCATTAGTCTCACAGTTACAAGGAACATTTACTTTCCTTTGAACTTGATAAATACTTAGTGTCTAGAGTGAATTTTCTAAAGTAGACTGCAAATATTTTTATTAATAAGATATAGTGCCCAACACCAGGAACTATATCAGAATTTGCTGTTTGTCAACTTGTTCTGATTAAGACAGTTTCACTTACAGTGAAATATATATATTAGTACAAAAATGCCTAAAAGTATCATTACTCTCTTTGGAAAAAAAAAGCCTTTTCTTGTTTTAAACATTGCAATAAATATTCTTCTCTTAAAAATAGTATTTTTCCTGTTCTTTCTTATGAATACAAATTAGAACAGTTGTTCTTTTTAACACATGGTGATGCCTGTAAAGAGCATGAGGCAAGGGTGGAGTGGAAGAATAAAAGAAACTCCGCTGTGGGGAAAGCAGTATCCTTGCTGCAATCCTTACAGTTCATACTAATGTAAGCTCCATTGGCTTTATAATCAGTCTCTCTCTCTTTTTTTTTTTTTTTTTTGGTAAGCAAGTATTTGGAAAATTCCAGGATCTAAATGCCATCCTTTTTGCTATGTTAAATGTCATTACATTGGTTCTGAGAGTTTACTGTAATAGTACTAACTTTCAGAATATTTAGAATGAATTGCTATGCAATATGAACACAATTACAAAGATAAGACTAAGTTCTAGAAATGGGAAAGTAATTTCCCAGGCTTCACTCTGCCAAAACTTACTACAGATCAGGCATTTCCCGTGTTAAGAACTTTAAATCTTCCTCACTACTATCCAAACCATGGAAATCTCAAGGTTGTGCTAAATCTGCCACTGTTTTCTCTGGCTCTCCAGAGAACTGTGAAGGACCAGTAAGAACAGCAGTACAATAGAGAAGGTCACCAAGCTTTTATCCATAGCAGCTCTACTAAAACTTTAAATGAATTTTCACAAAAAAGCACATTTTACTGAAATTACACATCAGTCTCAGGGAACAGCACACCACGTCTTTTAGGTTTTCAACTGTTAAGAACATATCATTATGGAAAAYGTATTGTGCAATGCTTCACTACTTATACACCTGAACAGTACAAAACACAAACTTTGTTTATTATGAGATTCAAAGCAAGAACAGACTCTGAGTAGATCAAACAGCAACAAATGATTTGAGCTACTTTAAGATTTTTTGCTTAAATAGTATTGTCATTGCCTTCATACTTGTGAAATGCAATGA